TATGAACGCGATTGCCAACTGATCGACATTGAATTTGAGATTATCTGCTTGTCGCGAAACATGCTTTTACGGAACACGTTTTGCTAACACAGCTCGGCCTGGACGCTGATACCACTAACTAGACGGTTAAATGACGTAACGTATGTCAGTGGAATGCTTGCACTTCAGATAGATTCAACAAGGGAATCCTTTTCCATGTCATTGAGTTGATAATTCTTGTCTTTTAGATCCCACGTAGATATTACTGAACACAGAAACTTTCGTCCTGTGCCGGAATCGTGTGCTAAAGAGAGCGATGGTGCAAATGTAAGCGAGGAAAGTTCGGATCACAACGGTGAGAGGAGACAAGCTCAAGTGAATACAAATTTTGTACTCCGGTCACATTTTTCTGTTTAGATGTCTCATCTGTGGCGCCGTCTCGGTCTGTTTGCGAACAAGTGGAGACAATGATGGCTGGGGTGAAGTATTGCAAGGAACGCGAACTTGGTATCGCCATGCTGCATTTTTTTTCAGCTTGATTATTTTTTATTGCTTTCGTATATCTTTTAGGTAAGGAGAAGAAACATGGTAAAGATGTCAAGCGCGATGCGCTAGAACAAAAAGAGCCTCGTGACATGTGTGATTTTCCGCCTCTTGAGAGCAAACATGGAGAGGACCGTTTCACCGATCTCAAAGAAGAAAGCGCGGTGGTAGAAGGAGATGATGCTTTTGATTTGCGTCAACCGCAAAACTTGAGTGGGCAAAAATTCCGGGGAGGCGAAGGTCAGTTACACAAAGAGATTTATTCAGACTGCTTTCATGAAATTTTACTATCAGCTTCTTGGTTCGAAAAGAAGATTTGGATAGGTTCGATATCTTAGTTTACTCAGCGGAGGACTGTTAAGCGCAACACTTTTCTCAACTTTCTTTTATGGATACGAGAGTTGGTGTTTTACAACCTTAAAACCTCTATCAGCGCAATACCGATCGGCAGATCGAGGATGCTCCATAAGGATCGCCGATTCATATCGGTCGATCCTCATGACCTTATAAGCGCTGCAAGGATCGAGGATGCGCGGCGGTTGCGTTGCGGCATTCCCGCTGAATATTTGGCGTAATTTGGTTCTATCCTAGCTTTTCCACGTATTTTATCCGGACTTTCACTTGCTTTTTCCTTTAGGTTGTGTTAGATTCTCAGAAGTCGTTAGCAAGTGTGCCGGAGAGATGGGTACCGAATCCCTGGCAAAATGATGTTTGACTGCGACGCAGCAACGCAGCTGACCGCACCCTCAATCGGCCGATCTTTGTCGCTTATTGCGCTTATAAAGGTCTGCCTATCTGAATTCACCGATCCTTATGAAGTATGGAGAGACCCTATAACTAGTATTTGACCGCGGCTCCACAACGCAACCGCGCCGCACTCTTAACCCCTAATAAAGCATGAAAGTACCCTGCATGCGCGTTGAATTCAATGGACGCTATCGATTGCGCAACACACTATATGGTACGG